TTGCAGATGATTTGGGAGCTGTAGAGGACAATCAGCAGTAGGACAGGCTTCAGGGCAGGGCTTCCCTGGCGACTTGCGCTTGCAGTTCCCCAAAACTCCGAAGGTCCGAATGTGGCCAAGAGGTCCAAAGAAAAATGACTCAACCCCCGCGTTTCCTCAGCTGCTCGAGCGCCAAACGCCGCTGAACTGCCGCATGCCGCACGGCGAGCAGGGCAGTCGCCGTGGCCTTGTATCCCCCTGCTGAGCCCCGGTTTGGGTCGCGCGCGGATTCGGAAACTAAAAGCGCGGATTCGGAAACTAAAAACGCGGATTCGGAAACTGAAAAACGCGGATTCGGAAACTGCAAGCGCGAATTCGGAAACTAAACACGCGGATTCGGAAACTGCCGAGCGCGGATTCGGAAACCAGGATTCGGAAACTTGAGGCGCGGATTCGGAAACTGGAAAACACATATTCGGAAACTGGAAGCGCGGATTCGGAAACTGGAAAACACATATTCGGAAACTGGAAGCGCGGATTCAGAAACCGAAAACAACGGATTCGAAAACTGAAAGCGCGGATTCGGAAACCAAAAAAAAGGATTCAGTTTATGTGAGTACAAATGAGTGGGGGTGAGATTTAACATAATTGAGAGTAGAGTTGAATGTCGAAGTGACGAAGGTCGAGGTGTGAGGACAAATGAGGGGGGTGTGATTTAAAATAATCGGAGAGAAGAATTGAAACTCGAAGTGTGGGGAGAAATGAGTGAGGTGAGAGGAGAAATGAGGGGGGTGAGGTTTAACATAATTGACTGTAGAGTTGAATGTTGAAGTGTGAGTACACATGAGGGGGGGTGGGATTTAAAAAACATCTCTGACAGAAGAGTTGAAAGTAGAGGTGTGAGTACAAATGAGAGGTGTGAGGACAAATGAAAAGGGGGTGTGATGTAAAATAATCCGCAGAAAAGAATTGAAACTCGAAGTGTGGGGAGAAATGAGTGAGGTGAGAGGAGAAATGAGGGGGGTGAGATTTAACATAATTGACAGTAGAGTTGAATGTCGAAGTGTGAGTACACATGAGCGGGGGTGGGATTTAAAAAACATCTCGGACAGAAGAGTTGAAAGTAGAGGTGTGAGTACACATGAGAGGTGTGAGGACAAATGAAGGGGGTGTGATTTAAAATAACCCGGAGAGAAGAATTGAAACTCGAAGTGTGGGGAGAAATGAGTGAGGTGAGAGGTGAAATGAGGGGGGTGAGATTGAATATAATTGAGAGTAGAGTTGAATGTCGAAGTGTGAGTACAAATGGGGGGGGGGGGGGGGGGGGGATTTAGAGATATCTCTGAGAGAAGAGTTGAAGGTCGAAGGGGTGTGAACAAATGAGGGGTGTGTGATTTGAAATAATCCGGAGAGAAGAATTGAAACTCGAAGTGTGGGGAGAAATGAGTGAGGTGAGAGGAGAAATGAGGGGGGTGAGATTTAACATAATTGACAGTAGAGTTGAATGTCGAAGTGTGAGTACGCGTGAGGGGGGGTGGGATTTAAAAAAACATCTCTGACAGAAGAGTTGAAAGTAGAGGTGTGAATACAAATGAGTGGGGGTGAGATTTAGCATAGTTGAGAGGTGTGAGTACAAACGAGTGGGGGCAAGATTTAACATAATTGAGAGTCCGAAGTGTGAGTACAAAGGCGGGGGGGTGGGATTGATCAAGACCTCTGAGAGAAGAGTTGAATGTCGAAGTGTGAGTACAAATGAGGGGGGGGGTGAGATTTAACATAATTGACAGTAGAGTTGAATGCCGAAGTGTGAGTACAAAGGAGGGGGGTGGGATTTAACAAGACCTCTGAGAGAAGAGTTGAATGTCGAAGTGTGAGTACAAATGAGGGGGGGTGAGATTTAACATAATTCAGAGTAGAGTTGAATGTCGAAGTGTGAGTACAAAGGCGGGGGGGGTGGGATTTGAGTTGAAGGTCGAGGTGTGAGGACAAATGAGGGGGGTGTGATTTAAAATAATCCGGAGAGAAGAATTGAAACTCGAAGTGTGGGGAGAGATGAGTGAGGTGAGAGGTGAAATGAGGGGGGTGAGATTTAACATAATTGAGAGTAGAGTTGAATGTCGAAGTGTGAGTACAAATGGGGGGGGGGGATGGGATTTAGAAATATCTCTGAGAGAAGAGTTGAAAGTCGAGGTGTGAGGACAAATGAGGGGGGGTGTGATTTATCGGCGCAAAAATAGTTTCTGAATCTCGCGGAATAGTTTCTGAATCGGTTGAAAATAGTTCCTGAATCGCGCGGCACGGAATAGTTTCTGAACCGTAGTTTCTGAATCGCGGGAGTTTCCTGAATCTGAGCAAACAGTTTCTGAATCGGTTCGAAATTGTTTCTGAATCCGAGAGAATAGTTGCTGAACCGCAGTTTCTGAACCGGACCAAGTAGTTTCTGAATCGGACGAAATAGTTTCTGAACCGTAGTTTCTGAATCGGGGGTAGTTTCTGAATCCGTGTTTGTTCCCCGGTTTGATGTTTGGGTTACCTTTCATATGATGAAATTAATCCCAATATTTGAGTCATTTTGAGGGTTCAACGCCTGCTTTGGGAGCAAGAACTCACTTTACGTAAGAACCGGTGACACACGCAGCGGCTATCATAAGACGAGTTGTTTTAAACTGGCGCCCTGATGGCTACGTTTAAAAACCAAGAGCCTCTTCTAGAAAGGACCCCCAAAAGGGACAACACAACATGTGAGGAAGCAGCACAAACTGGCATTGCAAGAGACTGTGGCACCCTGAGTGGATCGGGGATTTGTGCATCCGCCCTACCTCGGTGCGCTGTGCACTTGCCGCCGCGGAGTCCCCGTGCCAGCCATCACTCGGACGCCTGGCCTCCTGTGGTTAGGACGTGTCAGGGAGCTACATGCAAGGATCTAAGGGTGACTTTTCCAAGGGGGACGCCGTCTTGTTCCCAAAGACTCTTATCCGTCGTTTGGCACATTGATGGACACCCGCCTCGAAGTGGGCTCGAAAGCACACAGCAAACTCTTGCTTTCAGCCCTTGCCTCACTGCAAGGCTCCAACCCTCAACCTACATCAAGACCTGCACCCGAACCCTTGACCTAAGGATGTGCGGGCATCGGAAAGTTTGGAATCTTCTGACATATTGAACCGATGCAGAAATGGCACGAATTGCAACAAAGACCAAAAAAAAACATCCCCGGCTCCCTGATGCCTTGGTCCGCTCACGGCCCAGGAAAAGCAGAAGCTCGTCCTTCAGCTCACATGGGCTTTGTAGGGCCCTTGTGGGCCTGAGGCCGGCTTTGGGATTCAGGGTGGCCCCTCGAAACCCTGATAAGCCCTATCAAGTCAAACAAAGGCTACTACTCCTCAACTTTCACTAACTTTCATCACTAATCTAACATAAACCATTATTTCTATTCTCATTATTGTTCGTATTGTTGCTCTATCACAGCATAATCACATACCTCTTGCCCAAAAAAGCCCTAAGAAGGCCCGAAGAAGGCCAACAACAGGCCCCCTAAGGAACTCCTCTGGGAGCCTGGCCTCGCCCAAGCCGAGCTCCGGAGGGCGCTGGCGGAAGTGTTGCCTCCATGTGGCTCCAGGGGTGGTTTAGGGTTTGGGGTTTGGGGTTTGGGGTTTAGGGTTTGGGGTTTAGGGTTTGGGGTTTAGGGTTTAGGGTTTACCTTTTGACAAGGAGTTAGGACGCTTAGGTTGCTAGAAGAGGAGACCAAAAGTGGACTCACCGGCATTAATTCGGGACCAGCAAACCAGAGGAGTAAGCCATCAATCCCGTTTGAGCTTGGAAAGTGAAGCGCAAAACAGCACATTCGTTTAGTGTCAATGTGAGGAGCCGAACTCATCAGCACAGCTTGAAACTTCGATCGCCAGAAGGCCCAAGCCCACCCACCTCTCTATCACAGCAGCCTTTTGCCTGAGTTGGAAGAGGTACTCAGGAAGCTGAATCTCCGCCCCAACTTCCGTCCCACTAGCGGTACGGCAGACCCTGCATGTTCTCTTAGGCCAAGAATAGAACTCATCAGCCATGAGCCTTGGATTATAAAAGGCCTTTGAATTTGGAAGTAGCAGGTTCTGGAACTTCGAGCTCATCAGGCTCCTCCCCCCAGCCCCCAAGACAACCCTCTAAGATCACGACAGGTCCGCGAGCAGCGTGCGAACTTCTTGGAGTTGTGCCTTTCACAGGAGAATTAATTCCTGAAAGCTTCTGTTCTTTTATTATTCTATTTCTATAGTTCAACTATTGCATTCTTCGATCATTCCTTTTGATGTCATTAGGTTTTTATATATCGTACTACTGAATTAAACTGTGATTACACTAATATATTATATGCATAGAATGTTGCTACATTGTCATATTGACATTCATGTACAATGAAAACTGTATATACTCAGAATAGAATGTAAGAATGTTATGATATTGTTAAATATGCGAACATACTATTATACTACTATGATATTATATCATCATGCGATGATGCGAGTATACTAGGGACGGTTTTTTCATCGGGCTTCGTTCGAAAGTTCTGCTCAGGGCACGCGCAAGCCTTGGCCGTTTTATACAGGGCGTGCCGCCCTCGCCAGGCCTCCCTTAGGTTTATGTGGGACTTGAACTTGGATCGCCGCGGTCGGTACTGCTTGCGCCATGCCACTGCACCATAGTCGGAATGCGCCACATGACTATCCGCCGACCCCAGCGGTAGCAGGGCGGCGTCAGTGAAGACCCCCCACCGCCCTCACCGCCCTCACCCGCTCTCACAGCATGCTGCTCATGACACCTTGAATTGGAGTGTTTTTGCATTGTTTGGCTTCAGTGCATGCCCAAACCCCGCCACCCATCGCCCTCACCCATGACGCCTTGAATTGGACCTTTGACCCCCCCCCCACCCCATCCATTCAGGTGGTTTAAAGGGTCCAGTGCATGCCCGACCACCCCCTGACCAATCTCTAGTGTTTTAAGCATTCCAGTCCATGCCCGCCCTGACCGCCCTCACCGCTCTCACCGCTCTCATCACTCCCCCTCCCTATGCCCCCCAGTCCACCCCTCCCTGACACCAACCCTTTGCCCTCAACCCCCCACCCTCGACTCTGAAACCCCACCCCCCCCCACCCCCCCCATCCCTTCCCTCCTAGGCCCCTACCCCCTACTCCGCCCTGACAAATCTCTAGTTTGAGGGATTCCAATCCAAGCCCGCCCTAACCGCCTCCCCGCTCTCATCACTCCCCTGCCTTCCGCCCCCAACTCCACCAACCCTCAACCGTCACCTCCCCTGTCCACCCGCCGCGCTCCACCCTGCCTTCCGCCCCAACCCTCTCACCAGAGCTGGTCAAATGAGTCAGGCCCCCCTTTCCGCCAGCCGCCCCCACCCTCTCCCACTCCCACTCCCTAACCCTCCCACCAACCCTCCCCAGCCCTCATCATTACCCCCTCCCACCATCGTGCACCATCCGACCGCCCCCCCGCTCTCACCGCTCTCATCGCTTCTTCATCTCTATGCCCCCCAGTCCACCCCTGCCTTCCGCCCCCAACTCCCTAATCCGACACCAACCCTCTACCGTCACCCCACCGCCGCCCCCCTTTCCACCCCCACCCACCCCCACCCCCCCCGCCCCCGCCCCCCCCGCCTGCCCGCGCTCCACCCTGCCTTCCGCCCCAATGCGACTGTCTTGGGTCTGGGGTCGGCGGCACTGGCGGTAGCCATTAAATCGGGCAGCGCGAGGTCCCCAAAGGACCGAGCAAATGCGGACCTTTTAGCCCGGGTCGTCCCGGGAATAGCCTTGCTGGCCTCTGGCCTTCTGCGAAGCAGAATTAGGCCGGACGCCAGTGCCGCCGACCCCCGCGTGCCGCCGGTGAACGGTTTTTTTTTCGTGGTTTTTTGCGTCGCCACGGAGGCCCCCAGAGGGCGCGCATCATGAGCATCAGCGGGTCCAGCCCGGGACCCCAGGCGCGCATCAGGAGCATCAGCGGCTCCCGGGCGGGACCCCGGGGGCGCATCAGGAGCATGACGCCCCCCAAAGGGCGGGCATAAGCGACGTGTCTAAGCCCGGGGCTAGGAAAAAGGGAGCTTAGGGGCCTTGTAAAGTGCTTAAGGGAGTTTAGGGGCCTCAAAATGCTGAGAAACTGCTCGCCCCGCGCTTCTGCCTGCGCTGCCCGCCCATGGGCGCAGCCCCTTAAAATCGGGCAGCGCGAGGTCCCCAAGGACCGAGCATTGGCGGACCTTTTAGCCCGGGTCGTCCCGGGAATAGCCTTGCTGGCCTCTGGCCTTCTGCGAAGCAGAATTAGGCCGAACGCCAGTGCCGCCGACCTTTCGCGGCCCGGTCGGTTTTCGTGGGTTGAGGCACGAAAAATGGGACGGGCGCGGAGGCCCCATGATGCCCCCCAAGGGGCGCGCATCATGAGCATCAGCGGGTTCAGCCCGGGACCCCCAGGCGCGCATCAGGGGACCCCGGGGGCGCATCAGGAGCATGATGCCCCCCAAAGGGCGGGCATAGGACCCTAAACCCTAAACCCTAAACCCTAAACCCTTGACGGATCTGCTCGCCCCGCGCTTCTGCCTGCGCTGCCCGCCCATGGGCGCAGCCCCTTAAAATATTATGATAACAAGATGCTCGTACAAGACTACAGTACATGAGAGCCAACTTTAGCGCATTACGTACTTGCAATGTTCTGGGCCCTAAAAGGAGCTCCGGAGGGCTCCGTAGGCCGTGGGCTGAAGAGGAGGGGGGAGCCACGAAAAGCTTGATTAGACAGGAATAAACACAAACAGAAGCAGCAAGAGCCGCAACACCCCCAACTTGTGGCTTCCTGCGTTGAGCACCAACCCTTCAGCGGGCACCCTAAACGAGGCCTCCTCGAGCCCAGCGGTCGATGCCAGGGCATCTGCACCTGCCGCCTCCAGAGTTTCGCTCGCCTCAGCAACGCCGTCTCATGGCATCCTCTGCCCCAACGCAACCGGCTTCACAGCACCCATTTAGGGTTTAGGGTTTGGGGTTTGGGGTTTGGGGTTGAGGGTTTAGGGTTTCGGGTAACCCTAAACCCTTTCGGCGCCTCTTCCAAAGGCAAGGCTGGCAGGGACGGCAACTGGCAGGGGAGGACACGATGCTTGTTCTTCAGTTCCTTAAACACTTCAAGCCCTGATAGGCACTGATATCCCTCACGGGTCTAAAGCCGAAACAAAGGACGGCTCTTCACGCTTGGTCGTGCTCGAAGTTAAGACCAGAGGTCTCAGAATAGCGACCGAAAGCTGCATCCTAAACGAGTCCTGCCTGGATTTGCCGTGCGCTGGCCAAAAAAGAGTCCAAGCCATCGAGGTGCGCCCTTCAGCCCAAGCACGGAATCATTCAGTCGAACACTGTGGGCCGCAATCCAGAAACAGGTGTTACTGTTAGAGTTGGCCAGGGCTTATTTGCTCAAAACGGCGGCTGAATTCGAACCCCTCGCCCTCCTCAGCAGCTCCCTCGACAGAGAAGAGAGGCTCTCAGCGCGCTCGTCCATCTGCGGTACCCGGAGCCATGGCGAGCTGGAGAGCTTTAGGGCTTTAGGGCTTAGGGTGTTTGGGTTTTAGGGTTTAGGGTTTAGGGTTTAGGGTATATGTGTATATATACATACATATATGTACAGGCATTTTCTACACATGTTGAAATCTGAGCCGGTGCTTGACCCTGGGTTCATCAGCCACAAGGGCTTCTTGAGATGCTCAGTTGCTGCCATCGTTGTCAAGCTAGCGAGCTCTTGCAGGACTTGCACCCAAAACCGAAAGCAAGCCTTGGCTGCTGGCTGCATGTTCGGAACGCCTCCTGCTGCGAAGGTCGGCGACGTCACGCACTGACCCTTGGGGCAGCTCCTCAGTTGACAGGCTTTGGGGATAGGGCGCTGGGCCACAGTTGCGATAAGGCGCAGTAAGGGCCAAGATATGGCTGCAAATGAGAAATTCAGTTGCCAGGCAGTGCCACAGTGCTGCAGTCTCGCACTCCACAGTGCTGCAGTCTCGCACTCAGCTCGGATCTAACCTGACTTCAGAAGAATGTCTCATGCTGGACCACTGACTTCTCGTGCTAAGCAGCTCCAACAGTGCCGAATAGTCGGAGATGGTCCACTCCACCTCCCTCACCTTCTGCAGTTTCACTGCGGAACTGGCCCGGCGACAAAAAAATCACAAGCCCCGGAGCAAAGTCGTTGCCTGCACGTTTTCCAGAAGAGCCAGCCGTGTCTCCAGGGCGGCAGCCTGGGTCGGGCAAGTTCTGCATCATAATTGCATGTCGACATCTTGCCCCATAGCATGCAGCTTGGGTGAAAAACCGACATTTATGGCCAACCAGCATGTGAAAGGAACCTAGCCAGAACCATGTTGACCCACAGCTTGTGAGGTGCCAGCATGATTCTGATTTGGCTGCGGTGTCCGAAAGATCACTCGCCCAGGTGTAGCCAACAGCCTCAAGGTCTCCAAGTACACCCACCAAGCCTTTCAGCAAGCAAAGGAAGGGCTCCGAACTTTGAGACTTCCGGACATCCCCGGCCCCTGTCGCACGACATGACGATGATGTGCAATACGGGCTGAGTGAACCTTCTAGGCAAGAACAAGGATGCCATGACAACAGGGATGTCTATCTAAACTGTTCGATCCCCAGTCCTGCTCAAGCCTGCCGACGATGCCCTTGCAAGCTTGTTCCCAATCTGAACTTGAATATACGGACAACCAGGCCTGGCCCAGTACCATTATGAGCATCATCACCCGTCATTGCTTCAGATCACTGAACCCCGGAAGATCAGGCCCACACTCGGTCGTAGCGCGTGCCGGCTTGCCTGACCTGATGCAGGAGGGCTTAGGATTGTTGCCACTAGCACCGCTCTCATTGAAGGATGAAGCTCTTGGAATTCGATGGTGTGTCTAGGTCCCTGTTCAGGGCTTCATGGTGTACTGTAGGAGGACTGTAGCCGCAGTTGAGTCAAGCGCCCTGGACAGATGCTTCCCTCACCCAAAGCACCCAGAATGTCTAGCTCCTAACCCACAACCCCAATGCACTGACACGCAACGACTCAGAAACCTACACTTCTTTGCAGACCTGCCCAAGCTTTTCTTGGTCCATTTCGGGACTCTTGCACACCTCATCACTGCACTAAACTTCCTAATTGCCTTGATTTTGTAAATCCAAATGCAACTTGGCAGCCCCAATAGCCCTGTGATTCGGCCTCCGCCACCTTCCTCTGGAGAGGTAGCTTGGCTTCACGCAAGTCTGCCAGTGTCGCCTTCGCTGTTTCGAAGCTCAGGACAATGCCGGCTGATAGTTCCTCTTTGGAAAGGACTGGGAATAAGCGTCTTCAGTCGCAAAGCTTGGCCAAAGGTGAAGAAGTGCTGACCTCTAACAACGGTCCCACCCAAGATCCAGAATGAATCAAGAGTGACAGACAGCAGAAATAGAAGCCCTGCCTTCGCAGCATCCTTGCAACATCCTGGCAACATCCTGCAACCTGCGAACTATCTCGAGGCCTGAAGGGTCGGAAGGGCCGCGGCCAGCTCCTTCTGCCCCAGTTCAGGCTACGATCATTGTCTCTATCAGCGCACATCTCACTCAAAGTCGCAGGTGGGCGCAACCCATTATCCCATATGACCAAGTCTCACTTGTCTTGAAGGTCCTGTCTTGTTGCCCGTTAGTTAGCCGCAGCTAGCTGCCAAAAGCGCAATTATGAGGATTCCCCATGACTTTCCGCACTGAGTCCTCGAGTCGCTGCTTCTCTTCCGGACTCCTGCGGTCTTACGCAGTGTCTATTTAGACGTGCCCCCTGCCGCGGCACTCAGCACACGAAAGCTTAAACCATACTTTGAGACGATGCTCGAGACGATGCTTTGCATGGTTCTATGCAGTGCTGTTGCGGATACATGAGCAGCGCCTACTTCACGTGGAAGCAGAAGCCTACTTCAGGTGCGAGCGTTAAGTTTATTACGTTGGAGCTGCACGCCGAGCAAAACAGAACACCCCCACATATCTCCAAGGCACTTGCAATGGCAGTTGTGCCAGGGAGCCAATGCGGTCAGAAGCGTGTCACCCCCTCCCAACCAAGCTTGTGCGCTCCCCCTGCAGCTCTTGGAGCTTCGGGCATCCACTGGTATATATAGAGTATAGAGAGATGGCGCACGAGTGACACCTGGATTCATAGATGCCGCAAGGGCAGAAACGCAGGAGCGGACAAGGATCGCGACGAAGTCCAGCATCCTTCCTGTCCCCCCCAGCCTTCCTGGCCCTATGCCTCAGGGTGCGGGAAGGGAAGAAGGCTAGCGATTCGTCCGCAAAGGGACGAAGTTGTGCTGGGAGGGCCCATCGTCCAGTGACGCATGTCGAGCTCGCTCTTGCAAAGTGCAGAGAGGCGTACAACGCCGCAAAATCCCTCACACCTGCCCTGCTCGGGGCGAAGTTGAGCCGACATGACATTCCCACGACTCCGCCTGGAACTCCCTGTCCTTGTTGCGAGACTGGATTTGGCGACGGGCCGCCTTTGGCGTGGGCATTGGAGAAATCGGGGCTTCATCTACATAGTCACTTAGTCACTACTGAGGGAGCACCAGGCCAAGCAACGCTACACCCCACCAGTCTTGTTCAATCGCCCTTTTCTCGGCTGCTGATTGGTTTGTGGCTCTCTGCTACTGCCACGGATCAAAGAATTGGGCCTGCCAGAGCTCCGCCGAGTACAAGCCTGAGACCTCCTCAAGCATTCCCAGCAATGCAGCCGACTGGCATGCATGCGGGCTCGCGTGCTGCAGATGTCGCTTGACAAGCACAACGGCAGTAGAGGCAGCTGGCTACAGCCAAGTACAAAAACATATTAGAAAGGGCACGAGGAGCGATTCAAATAGTTTCTCCAAGCCACGTGCACAGGTGGGCAGTAGTAATGCAACCGTGCTGCAAGCTATACAACTACTTCACATCGGCCAGCTAAGGAAGGATTCCCTCACGAGCATGGATAGACTCGAAACTTTGGACCATGAATTTCGCTCTCTGCGCTATTTGCGCCTTGCTCTGAGTGGTTCTTCTTGCTGGCGCTGTCGGCGGCGCGAGGCCTGCTTTAAAAGGCACTTTGCGGCTGGTGCAGTCTTGCACGCCTGGTGCAGTCTTGCACGCCTGGTGCAGTCTTGCACGCAGAGTCCAGCCCAAAGCTCAACCCACAGACTGAGCACCTGCACTGTACATTTTCTTTAAAAAAAATCTTCGGTGCTCATCCGAAGAATTTTTGGCGATACTTACAACAAATAGCAAAATCGGTTTGGAACCTAGCCGTGATTTTCACGGAAGCATCAATTGGGCATTCCGCAAAATGGTGTGGGGTACCCCAACATACGATCACAGGCACTCCACAACGGTTACCCCTCCCCCCCCTTTTCGGAAACCCCCAATTCGTGAAAAAAAATAACGTGACAATACCAGTAGGTGAAACTGGCAAACTTTCTTGCACGTGACAGAACCACATTTGCCACAACGGCACGTTCTTGCAGTGGCTAGCAAGCTCATGTCTTTACTTGCAGGAGAGAGTGCGAGTCAGTCAGCGACTTTGGCGCCACACAAGCCACCGATCCTGGAAAACACTGATCGCACGGACTTGGGATCGACATCGAACTCCTCTTTGCGCCGGCAAGCAATAGCTGCCTTCAGCTTGCTTGGAGTGCGCACGATTTCCTGCAGCTTGACAAGTACAAGGGGATCCCAAAAAGCACATGAACACTGCTTCGGGAAACTGGGTCTCCGCCCTTGCTCCTGGTTGTCAGGCCCATGGGGGGGCGGGGCGGGGGGGGGGCGGGCGAAGGGATTGCAGTGGGGATTTGTCACAAGCTATTCCCGAGGAAGACTTACGTACCTAATGTAGATTCTGCACGTCAGGCGCTCCAACCCCAACTTCCCCAACAAACCCTATTCTGCCAGCGGAAACCTTGTGGTGGGGGGGTGGGGGGGGGGTTTGGAGCTCGGGCCCTGAGCTTCATGCTGGGACAATGTAACCGACTCAAACCATGTAGCGTGCCAAAGTCTTGAAAATGGCTTCCGCCATTTGAAAAGTTTAAGGTGGTTTTTTTGTGTCAAAGACATTCCAGGGCCCCAGCTCCAGCCGCCCCCACCCCCAGAATTTTAACCAAGTTTACGGAAAACATCTGATTCCCCGGCCCCAGCCCCTGCCGGGGGGATTGTTATTTTATTCTCATTTTTTGTCACTTGTGACTTTTTCTTTTTGGTGTTACCTCTGTCTTTTTCTCGGAGAGTCCTCTTGCCGCCTGCCGTACAAAACGGGATTCCGTGGCTTGTGACTTTTTTCTTCGGTGATTCCTGTCTTTCGTTTTGGGGTCAACTCTCTGTCTTTTCTTGTGTTTTCTCCTTTGTCTTTTGAGTTTAGGGTATCTTGCTTTGGGGTTTAGGGTTTGTCCGCCCAGCATCTTCTTTTAGAGGTCCATGCCCGCACGATGATTACGTCCGTGTGACCAGTCCGTGCGAGTGGCCAGAGCATCCATGCCCGCACGATGATAGTGCTAGTGGCCAGAGCATCGCGAGGGGGGGGCGGGGTGGGGCGGGGACTGGGGCTGATCCTCGGGAATTACCATAACTCAGCCTTCGTTGATTTCAAGAGTCTCTTAAAGTCTTAGCATATAGATTTTAATCATCCGCATCCCTACCATTGTTGTTCTGCAAAGGGTCGCCCCCCCCTGTCCCAAGTGAATAATTTGTGATGATCGCACAACAAGACAAAGACAACTGAACACTCAGAAGGCGAGCTTCTCATTGATTTGGGATGATTTGGGCTTTTGTTCGTGATTCGCATCAGTATATTGGGCCCGTCTGATAAAAACATGGGCTACAAGCCTGAAAAAATGCTACCATTACCACTATTTTGGGGTGTTTGGCAAACTCCTTACATGTCATATTCACTTGGCCACCAATGATAGATAACAAATATTTATGATGTGAATACAATGTAAAACTAGATGCCAAAGGAAAAGCGCACAAGGACTCTGAACACAGTTTCCTTTTCTCGCTCCGTTTGGAAATAACGAATAAGAGCAAAGCGCCGTATTCATTAAATTCGCGAGGCATCAAAAACAAACCCTACAGTCCTAAATCCTGCAAACCGTCAAACCCGAAAAAACGCAAACCCCGACACGCTCTTTGGGGGACCCAAGAAGCGGCTGTGAGGACTTTTTGCATCAGGAACTAACTGTGGTTTGGTCATGTCACCTGCCAGCCTATATGTTACTTTCATGTCGCTCTTGTTAGCTGGGGTCTGATGGTGAGGGCGACCCCGTTTGACACCGTGAACGCCGATTGACGCCGTTCACACCATGCACGTCACATCTTTGCGTCCTTGCGCAGAAAGTCACATCCACGTCTTCCTGTCTTCACGCTTTTGTGCGGAAAGTCGCGCCTTCGCGTCTTTGCCATCAAAATCACGCACCCCTGCAGACATCAGTATACGCTACTCTTTTTGTGATTGCTCTCCAAACTCTAAATCAAAAGCACTGCCATCACCATCATCATCATCATCACCTTTTTAGCTCGGGAAATTATTGATCGCAAAAAGCGCCCCCCCCCCCCATCGTCTTGTTTGTTGCAAATGCTTGCAAGCAGCGTTCCCATCATTTGTTGATTTGGAAAGGCTATCAACATGTTGGAGAGCTACACTGCCTACTAATTCAGACTTGGACTGGAGAGCAGTGAAAACAGAAAGTACAAAGCGAGACACGGCTTGCGATTTAACACTTGGAGCAATAAACACACAGAAAAAGAGGTGGGTACGGACACTGCCTTCCGCTGAGGATTTGAAGAGCACTGAAAGTAGATAGGACAAGGGGGGACCTGAAGAACGGAGCGCAGTAACAACAGAAAAGAAGAGATAACATTTGCTGCATTACTTAACACCAGAAAGAAGATGGGAAGACATTTCGGGAGAAGTCAACCTAGAAAATGTCATGGGGAAACTGCTTGCGGTTTGAAGATGCAGAGGGCCTCTATCGCTTCTGTTTAAGACCGGAGTGGCCATACTGCGGGTTACGAAAGATAAACATACTTGCTCGAGAAGAGGGCAGACCCTGAAAACATTTCTTGGAATCAGAGGACCTCTACGTCTGCGTTTTCAAACTGAGACTACATTCCCTGCGAGCCCTGGAGAAGGTCGTCCTGTGGACATTTCCAGTGGTCAACTACATATTTTCCTTCCTGGTCGTGTCATATACAAAAACCAACTTCCAAAAACTACTCGAAGAGAGGTGCTTTGAGTTCTTAGGCATTCTCCTCACATGCTCCAGCATGGCCACGGGTTCGGAACATGACTGCTGTAGCAGGCCAACTATACGCTTCGCCGGTCCTCCATGAAAGCACCAATGCGCTCATTCTGGTAGTCATGCATGATGCGGTTTGGAGGTGCTGATCGAGTGCCTTGGCTAGCGTGCCGTTCAAGGCAAGAGCAGACGGCCTGCTCTCAATGCTGGTCATGTCAACAAGTAACTAAGGTAACTAAGGGTAACTAAGGGTAACTAAGGGTAACTAAGGGTAACTAAGGGTAACTAAGGGTAACTAAGGGTAACTAAGGGTAACTAAGGGTAACTAAGGGTAACTAAGGGTAACTAAGGGTAACTGAGTTTTAACTAAGGGTAACCTACTGAGAACACAGGAGTTTGGAGCAGCAGCTCCAGGATCTGCGACTTAGCCAAGGCAGGCCAGGACACACTCCGGAACGTCGATGGACTCATATGAGACCCGTGCCTCCCCCAGGGTATGAGTTTTTTGAGGCGAAAAGCAAAAGGTCGGCTTCTGACGTATAGCAAGCGCCAGCTGGCTCGTCATGTTCGGCAAGGGTATGCTCATGCTTTGTTATCACTGCCAGACTTAGCCCACTCAAGTTGACCTGGATGTAGATCACTCAAGGCATAACAAGAGGAGGCATCAGGAGGCGTTCTCCGTGAACCCCGAAACAAACACAGTTGCCTTCAACGAAGCGTCCAGAAACAAGCAGCTTGTCGACAAGCAGTGACCACGCATCGCCGAGGCGGCCTCCAAAGCCTCCAATCTGCTAAATCCCTAAGGAAGCTCTGAGAAAGATCCGTCTAGGCGAGTGGAGTGCGGAATGTTTGGCTGAAATGTAGCAGACATGTAGCAGAAATGTAGCAGAATCTCGAGGGAATTCCAAGTGTGGGATAAAATGGGCCCCAAAATCGGGGCGCGCTACGTGTTGCTTAGGTATTGCTGCGTGTACGCATCTGTCCTTCTTTCGGCCAAAGAACGACGGTCTGAGCTCCTACGTTTTGTTTTTGCCGACTTTGACAGAACAACCTCCTGGGAACGGGGGACGATGTCCCAAATTGCGACAAGTGAGGGTGTGCTGAAAACTTGCAAAGCGTGTCTGCCGAGCTCCAAGTGCATGCTTGTCTTGTAAATCGGAACTGGGTTTGCCGAGGTCTTTTGACCCGCTGGTATTCTGAATTAATTGCATCAGGCTTGTGGCTGCTTGACACAGAATTCAGGGCTAGTGTTCGGTTTGACCAAGTTGCAAGCATGGCAAATGAGCCAACAACACACAAACACCCGACCCTCAGCCTGATGCGGACGGCGTCCACTGGCAAGCTTCAGCCAAGGCACAGCCACAGTTGCCATCGTATTTGGCCAATCCGGCTCGGGCTCCGTTGGCTCCGCATCCTCTCATGTGGAACATACTGGGCAGAGGCGAGCCTGGCAAAACTGAAAGCGCCATTTCAGAACTCTCAGCACTCCAGGCCCCCCAGCCGAAATCCGCCGTGAGGCATTGAGAGAATTTAGATTCTCGGCTGGGGAACCTTGTAAAGGTAGCCAACCCCCTCCCTACCGAGTTGTTGTTTAGCCAAAATGGGTACCCCCCCCCCCAACCAACCTGTGTCCAGCAGCGGCCCTACACGTCAGGACCAGGAGGGACATTTTGGGCCGGCCAATCTGTTTCCTCTCCGCCTCAGGCCCCCCACCTTCCCAATCCCCCCCCACCCCCCACCCTGACTGCTTGAAGATTCCGTCAAAGGCTGCTCGCCGACACGGCCTCGCGCTAGCGATTAAATGAAAATTCATCGGGGGCCGAAAAAACCACGAGCGTTTACCGCACAGAATGGGATGTCGTAAATGAAGCCTCATGAAGCCTCCATTTCCAGACTTTTTTGCGGGGAGGTCTTCCCGGACGAGAGGGCCCGGAAAGGCCGCGGAGTGGGCGGCTGCAGCGAGGGCACTGCAGAACAGCGAGAACCAAATACATAAAAGGAAAGAGAGAGCTCCTCCAAGGCGGTCCCACAGGGCTGGGCCGTTGAAGGGACGTTGCTCAGGGAGTCGTTGCTCGGCGAGTCAAGTTGTACCTGGGATTCTCTTAACCTACAGTCTTATGGCTTTTACCTTCTAATTAAGGGGTAGCTACTACAAAAACTCCATAGGTAAATGGGGTCCCAGGTTGCGAGGCTGAATAACAGAAAGCCATCTGCTGAGACAACTGGAAAGCCGACCTTCTGCTGTGTTGAATCTCATCTTCACACTGCTTGCTCTACTTGCTTTACACGAGCTTGGGCCAGATTCATTTTGAAAGTTCCTGCTGCAGCGCATTCATAGTTGCAGGCACGGCTTTGCAGGGTTGAAGTTCAAGCGAGAGGCTTTCCAGTCTTGCGCCATCCATTTGGGATGGCTGCTCAGCGAGTCCAAGTCCGTGCCTCCAGCAACTGGCATCTGTTAAAGCTCAGGGCACCTTCCTGCTAGGATGGACGCTAGCACTCTAAAGTACGGGGCATATCTCAAGCTTGTATCAGCCTGCTGCACCTCATTGTGCTGATGTAAGTGACACATATACGACAGCAGTCAGTCCCCGCAAAGTCGTGCCTGAAGCTTCTGGCTTGCATGGCTGACGCAGGTTTCGCAAGAATTCGGACATCGGCCCCTCTCCGCCCCTACCCGTCCGGGCAAGGATCACAGGATCCAACCCCGAATCCCGCCCCCAAAATGATGCAAGTCATGCGCTGCTCTTGGTCCCTCCTGAGACTGCCTGGGCTTTTAACTCAGGAGGGCTGGTTCACTGGCCGAGGGTAATTACTAACGGCGTCGTCAAGATCATCATAAACAACAACAAGAAACCTCATACTAAATCGTCGTAGTTAGAATGGGCCCCTCTCGTCCCCGGACCATCCTGTGAGCCAAAGATGCCACCGAAACAGCTCTCAGCTGAACGCTTCCAGGTTCGGCCTATGCTGCAAGCCTTTGAGAACCCCAAAGCCCTAAAGCAAACCCTACAGACTGCGAGTCAGAAGTTCGGAGACGACGAAGTAAGAGGAAAGCTCCTTTTGAATCCATGGAGGACTTCAATCTGAGACTCTCTCTCCATATGGGCTGTGTTCTCTGCCCTGCCTGCAATGCGAAGCCTACCTGTGCCTCGTCTAGGCTCAAAGGCTGCTTCGGCAACCTGGACAACGAACAAGATTAGAAAAAACAATGAAGCCACTTAGCCTTGTGGTGCGACCCGGCATCACGACATGGCATGGGGATTAGCAGTTCTGTTCAGGTCATATGATTGTGGACCTGTGGAGCTGGGACAAAGGGGTTAAAGCCTTCTTGGCGCTGATGTCTATGAATGCGCAGAACACTTGTGCTCAAGTCTCGTGGGCTGTTGCCGGCTGAGGGTTGGGCATTTTGCGTTTTTTCGGCTTGACGGGGCCACACTTCAAGTTTGGATGGTGCGGTGCGTCCGCATATCACAACGGGTCATTGCATGGACACTGTAGCTGCTGCTCAGGCAGGCTGGGAATGGAGCCAAAATGTAACGATACACAGATAATCACAGATACACCTTGTCTGAAGAAAGGGAAACAAAAAAGTGAGTTCGAAGGGCAGGCCGTGTACTCAAATCGTCGGAGCTCCTGCGCTTTTGAGGCTGGACCCTGAACATTATCTTCCGTAGGCAACACTCTGTTCTGGGTCGACAAGTCACAGAAACAGAATTTGGATCATGGATGTAGGAGTTAGGAGCTTCGAACGGTCCAACGCTGAGCAACAGTGTTACCGACAAATAATACAAGTTGAAGCGGCCAGTAGGACTATAGGTACCAGGAAGACTGCCCACAAACATAAACAACTGCACCTGATTTTTGCGCTCACTGCGGCACCGCAGTGATTGTACATACACCTCGATGCTATGAAGCCCTATTCCGAGGCGAGGTTTATTAGTCGGAGTTACAGGTACAGTATGTGGGTGTGAGAAGGGCTTTGCGCTTGGCAGCATTGGACTAAACATGGTCAAAAACCATCAGCACCAAAATACATCTACTCACCCTACACAGCTGGTTAACGCGGAGCGGTATCGGCACGACAACACCACACTAGGGCTTCACTGTCACATCGCACGGAGCTGGTCCGCTCCAGCGCTCACCTGCCGACTGAATTCTCTCCCGGTGTCCACCAAAAGGATGCTAAATAGAAACAGAGGGAGTTGAGTAAGCTCCGGCCGCGCTGCTCAGGCAAAGTTAGGGAAGCATTCATCGCAGAGGAAACCAGGAAGTTTGTACAGCCTATGTTTACGTGTCCACACGAAGGAGTTCCAAACGTGAAGAGCAAACGGGAATAGGCTAATAGGTCGCGGAAGCCGCGCGGCGCGCCTGGCGCACCCGGCCTTCACCATGCGTTTCGCTCGAAGCCTGCTCGCATTATCGCCTGTGGGCGTGGCCACGCTCGCCGTCGTCGAAACAGGCTTCTGAGCTCACGAAAAGCGAACCTGTCGCCGCTTTTGGATTGGGTTCGCCGAAAGCGAACCTGTCGTCGCTTTCGGACGTCGGGGCTCACATGGTTTCTCACGGTGGGGGTCTTCGCTGGCATATGAATGGCCAGAATCTCACTATATCCTGATGACACCGGATTAAGATGTTGCAACTTTCCTGAACAGAACTCAACCTGATGGATGCCCCAGATCCTGGCCCCACGTGCAAGAAGGGCAAACGACCTTGTGCTGCCTTTGCTGGTCGAATTGGCCGTGCTGCTCTGTGCCTGAGGTGCGGCAGGCTAGCCACCGGAGCAACCCCTGCCCTCAGCACTGATCAGGCAGGAACGCAACATTCCTGACAATCCCCGATTGTTAAAGCCCCTTAACACCTCTTTGCCTGGGGTAAGTATAGAGGCCTGTAAGCTGAAAGCAATGTACAGGGCCCACAACAGATCACCGTAGTCTCATGTGATTCCATCTTTCTTGGAGTGGCCTTGCCTCGGAGTCCAGGTAGCGCTTCATCATTAGCATGTAGGCGGCGCACCTTGCTGCGCTCCGAGTCTTCTTGGGATCTGGTCTGATGTTCCCTGAGATTCGGAGGCAGATTTGGAGCCCAACTTACCTCGGCGAAGGGTGGGGAGCCGCCAGGAGCAAATCACTCGTGTAGGACGCTTCGTGTACAACAGCTCACAATGAGCACGCGGGTGTGCTGTGATAACCTCTAGTGAATGCACTGCACTAACTTGTGCAATCTGGCTTTTCGGAGGTGATCTTTCTCTTCAGTTGCCACGGCAGGCTTTTGATCGATTGGAAGATAGTCCGATGTTCTATGGTTGTGATGCTTCAAGGCGTGCCTTCTTTTCTTGGCATTGAAGGACTCAACTTACACAGCAATGGTCCATGTTGTTGCCTTTATTCTTCAATGGTCTTCAGACTGTTCCGATGTCAAATTGCCTTCGCAGATGGAGCTTCTCTATTACCCAAAAGCTTTCATGCAAAGACGAACGGCCCTGGGCAGCCCGACGTGTTGGCCAAGGGGCCGGCCTGGCGGGGGAGGGGGGGGGTAGGGCGGGTTTGAAAGACCTGTACAGCCTAGAACGTCAGTGCGACCCTCAATTCCGTCCTTGTCTTCGTCGTCTTTACATTCCCTCCCCTCTCGTTGGAGCCACGCGATCATGCAGCGGACTCCAGAGCGCACATGGCACATGTTGGGCTAGGGGCTGCAGGTCAATCGCAAGTTTGCTTGCACATTGCCGAAGAGGATCAATGGTACTTGGCTTGGAGTTTGCAAGGAAATTGCGGTTGGCGATAAAACAGATAGAGCGACCTCCATTAGTATGTGGCACCCGGCACACGGAAAACGACCCAAGCTAGGGCATCCTGCAGGCAGCAGACAATTGAAACAAGCCCAGCGGCAATGTTCAGCGAACGATTGTCCGGGTCGTCTGGAATTTCTCGGATCCCAATCTTGGTGCCGGTAAGCATCTGAACCTGAAGGAACTCTGCTGATAAGATAAGGACGGAACTGGGCACGGTGTAACAAGCAATGGCTCCATATGAGCGTGATCCTTCACGCAATCCGGTCTGTAGATGTTTGCGTTTACGTCGAATGCAGAACATTGAGCCCGTGTAGTCCCTGCACGGGACACTCAAATCCCAAACTCTGAAGCAGCAACAACCTAGAAATTCGAGTGAACATCCTCAAACAAGATTCGCATTTGTCAGGCCTCCTTGGTCCCTGAACCTCCACGTCCAATGAGGCCTCCGACCTCACCGAGTGAGGCTGGGACATTTGGAGCTCGATGGCAGTAGTACTAGTGTACTAGTAGTCGTGTAGTCGTAGTGGCCGTAGTCGCAGTCGCAGTCGTCGTCGTCGTCGCCGCCGCCGCCGTCGCCGTCGCCGTAGTCGTACTTGTACTTGGATGTGTCGCAGTGTCGCAGTGTCGTCGGTAGTGGTAGTAGTGGTAGTAGTGGTAGTAGTGGTAGTAGTGGTAGTAGTGGTAGTAGTGGTAGTAGTGGTAGTAGTGGTAGTAGTGGTAGTAGTGGTAGTAGTAGTAGTAGTAGTAGTAGTAGTAGTAGTAGTAGTAGTAGTAGTAGTAGTAGTAGTAGTAGTAGTAGTAGTAGTAGTGGTAGTAGTAGTCGTCGTAATAGTAGCAGCAGTCGTGGTAGTGGCGGTGGCGGCGTGTTTGACGGCGTTGTACTTAATTATGTGCATTCTTTCATGGGTTTCTGTACAGTTCACCTCTTCTGGCAAGCAGCTTTTTGGAAATTCGATACTGGGCGTTGCTGATGTTCGAGGTGTTCAAGACACTGCACGTTTTTGTTAAATGGGCCGGGTCGTGGGATGCACGCTTCGCATGGTTTTTGCACATGTCAGCATTTTCTTCGATCCTAAATAGAAATGCATTTTCAAACCCTCCATCCCCCCCCATCCCCCCATCCCGCTGAAGAAAGGAGGAAAAAGAGATATGGACGTCGCGAAAAAGATCATCAAAAACGTTCCATAATTTGTGGAACACCTCAAGATGATGCATGTCTCCATACATGGCAGTAAAAGCAATAGCAATAACAATAGTAATAGTATTACAACAAAGATGATGGTAGTCATAACATGTCATAACAACCATCATGGTAATGGTTATGGCAATCGGAGTACTGATACAAATAGCCGTTATTGGCTGTTATTCTTAGTACCATGTGTTACAGGTTCACTGTTGTCAGGAGGCCCACTCCGACCCGAAGACAAACACCCGCGAAGCCTTTAGCTTGAGGAGATGCCGAGATGTGTCAGTTGAGGTCTTGGGCTTTACCCTCCCAATCGCTCGGAGTGGAACGAGGCGGTTTGGCACCACGCAGCTCAGCGCGAAGCCGCGCGAGTCCTTGGTCGCATGGCACATCTTGTTGTGAGGGACCTCTGATGCTTGCGGGGGAAATAGGACTATGCGTGCTTCATGGGGAGCAAGAGGAGGGGAGGGGGAGGCAGGGTGAGAAACCGGGCAGGGTAAGCAACCGGGCAAAAGCTGAGGATGGCCAAGGGCTTTTGGTATGCTTTCGGCCCCCGTCCTCCATGACGTAAGGAGGCATGCTCTGCGCCACCTGCACATGCTGAGTCGACTTCTTTTGACACCCATTCCATTCATGGCTTGGCCTTCGTGCCTCAAGCCTCGAGAAAGCTGACCTTGGTCCAGCCGTGCCTGCATCATGGTGGCGATGCCCGGGTTCGCCAAGGCCTGTCCTGCACTCAACTCCCAGTATCTCCCAATCCTTGCACCTCTTGCACACAGGGCCTCCTATCCCAAGCAGTGAGGGCTGCAGCGGGAGGGACCCGGCCAAGCCGGCCATGGCCTGGGGCCGAATTAAAGGGCAGGGGTTAGCTTAGGAGTAAGGGCTTGAGCCCTGAAACTCAACAAGCAACAGAGCCATGGTGGTGGTTGCAACAGGAGCCATGCCTGCGTGACGCAGCCCGTGGAAGATGCCCAGGCGCTATACCTGGGGGGATGGCCCACTTGACCACGGACAAGAATTTTCTCAGACTCCTTAGCACACATCAGTGATTCATGAGCATGTTGAGCGCCCAGAAGAGCATCCTGGTTCGCAAAGACCAGCAGTCCTGGAGCCCTCTGACCCAAGAAGGGTTCGTAGCTGCTTCAAAGGTCGTATGAGAAAGTGCCCCCTGCTTGCATCACGATACCGGCCAGACATACTGCAATCTGCACATCAGCGATGCCTCTCCCCACAAGCCTCCGACAATAAAAAACACAAGAATCTTCCCCT